GCGGTCCTGGCCGCAGCGCCGCCCCCGGGCCTTGGACCCGGAGCTGCGAGCCTGGGTGGGGTGCCGCTCCCTCTGCCTCTGCCCAGCTGGTGAGGAAGGAGGCTTCGCCCTTAGCGTCGATTTTGCCCAGGCGCTCGGCCTTCTCTGTCCCCTGCCCCCAGTTTTCGCCCTCCCCAGCCCATTTGGGGTCAAGACTGCCTTTAGGATGCCCATCAGGCCCCGAGGGCTGCGGACCGAGAGCGGACACCTGGAGGCGCTGGCTCTCCGCCCCCGTCGTGGCCGCTCCTGTCCCTGGTCTCTAGGGGGCTCCCGCGCTCTCGTCTCCAGCCCTGTGCCCCTCTCGGTTGCAGTTGGCTTGGATGCCGCTGGCAAGACCACGATCCTGTACAAACTGAAGTTGGGGGAGATTGTCACCACCATCCCCACCATAGGTGAGTGCGGGGGCGAGGCCGGGCGAAGCGGGCGCCTTTATCTCTACGCTGGGAGCTGACCGAGACACCAGATACGGCCTCTTGAGAAGTGGGACACCGTATCTCGATGTGCAGGATGGTGCCGGAGGGGGTGGATGTGGAGAGCTCCGCTCAGCAGGTTCTGGTCCCTTGGGCCTGGGCCGCTGCCTTCTAGCCTGATGTCACCGCGGAGAGTCAAGCAGTTACAGGACTTTCCCCCCAATGCTCTCCAGGCTTCAACGTGGAGACCGTAGAATATAAGAACATCTGCTTCACTGTCTGGGACGTCGGAGGCCAGGATAAGATTCGGCCTCTGTGGCGGCACTACTTCCAGAATACTCAGGTGGGTGTGGGCAGGACTGAGATGCTGGTCTGAGCTGGACTCCCAGGACAGAAAACAAACCCCACCCCCCACCCCCAACACCTCCCATTTGCTGGCTAGCCTCTGCCCACTCATCGGTCAGAACCATATGACTGACTTCTCCAAGAAGCAGGGTCCACAGACCTGGCCTACCAGTCACCACCTACCTTCCATCCCTGATCTTTGCACCTCTTTTAGCAGCTAAATTAGCTAGACAGCTTGCTCCCAGGGTGAATACACTGTCCCCATCTCTGTGACAACTCTCACTTGACTTGTGCCAGCACTTCTGTTTGCTGACAAGGAGGGCTTCTCAAAAAACAAAACACCTCACTCCCACCAAGCCCGTTCTGACTCGCAGGGACCCTACAGGACAGGGTTGAACTGCCCCTGTGGGTTTCCAGTGCTGTAACTCTTGACTAGAGCAGGAAGCTTTGTGTCTCTCCCGAGGAGTGGCTGATGGGTTCCAACTGCTGACCCTGCGGTCAGCCACCCAATGTGTAGCCCACTAAGCCAACATGGTAAAAACAGGAAGACGAAAGGGACCCCATGGGGACGAGTCCCAGGACCAAGGGTTCACTCCTTTCAGGGCCTCATCTTCGTGGTGGACAGTAACGACCGGGAGCGGGTCCAGGAATCGGCGGATGAGCTCCAGAAGATGGTGAGCCCCCAGCGCCCTGGACCGGAGCCCTCCCAGGGCACAGCGGATCTCTGTGCTGGGGTGGGGTCTAGGGAGGGCATAGACACATTGTTTGTCTCCCCTGCCTCGGTCTGAGAGCGATAAAAGCTTCAGACTGCACCCCCC